CAATGTAATCGTCTTTACCTTGATTACAGTCATCGTCATCCATCAAAACTTTACTAGAGCAACACTGGTTTGCTTTATCCAACCGAGAGCTGTAGTTTGCGTATATCATATGCACATGCAGATGTTGGGTGTTTTGAGCCGCCATTCAGTCTGAGAAACGGCCTGGGCTGCTCTGAAAAAATCTCAACAAATATAGGCCTACGCACAGAAGAGGTGGTGTTTTGTTAATTTTTTTTAACTGAACATATTACTTGTAAAATTAGTGAATTACATAAATATATTTAAATTAATTTTAAGTTATCTCGCGGCCCCCCTTGATCTGTGGCCCCGCGGTTGAGAAACTTTAGCCGCTATTCCTTAGTGTTCCACATAAGAGGAAAGGAAAGGAAAATATAAATATGACTATTAATGATGAAAAAGATGGAGATTTTAAACTAGCAAATACGTTAAATCTTTTTTTCTCCCGTTTTGAGGGAAATGGAGAAGAAAGAAAGAAAAATGAATCAATGATTCTGACATCTGCAAATATATTTCTTATTAAAGAGGTTGATGTCAGAAAAATGTTTCAGAAGTGTAATATACATAAGAGCCCCGGCCCAGATAATATCAGCGGTCAGGTGTTAAAATTGTGTGCTGAGCAATTATCTACAGTTTTTACTTTACTGTTTCAAAAATCACTTGACCAGCATGCAGTGCCAATTATATGGAAAACTTCAACTATAGTACCTGTTCCTAAAATTAACAAACCATTAGAGCTTAGTGATTACCGGCTAATGAATAGGAAGTCAGGCACATTCTCATAAAATAGCAAATTGCAAAATAAAGTGGATACAAGATTGTAAAGATTGTGTATAGGAAGAACATTGTTTTGTGCAGTGATTCACATATACATTTAAAATCTCCATAGTAGTAGCTTACACTGAAATGTCTTTTAGACTTCCTTTTCTATACAGGCTGATAATGGATTGAAAGCTGTATAACTGTCCCTTATAAGTAATTAACCATTATTATGTTAGTTTTTTTGACATATTGATTACCATTTGTATAAACAAGTTTTAGTACAGATACCATGGTAAAACTATGGTTAGTGTAGCAAAACCATGGTTCATTTGTGGTTACCATGATTTAACTATGGTATGTTTTTTATTGTAGTAAAACCGTGGTTAATTTCGTAAGGGGTGTGCACCCAACTTTAGCAGTGATCATCACTGTCCAATGGTTAATTTAGTTTACTGACAGCAGAGCTATGATGTACGATCAAACACTTGTGTAGCTACTCATCATAATGAATAATTCCAAAGTACCGCAGTATGCAAGCATTTCCTATCTATCAGCAACATGCAGCTGTTACAAATTAGCCAGATTGACATATGTTGACATATGCTTGAGATGAATCTTTGGAAAATCCGATAAATATAGCTTTGACTGAGCATCTATTTGTTTATAATATGCTAAATATTATACATGTGCACTACTGATCAAAGGTTTGGAAGAATTAAATAACAATTAAATTATAATGTGCTGATATGGCAGCACAACTGTTTTCAACACTGACATTACTAAGAAATGTTTCTTGAGGACCAAATCCTGATTATGTGATAATGAGGAGTATTGGCTGCTGAAAATTCAGCTTTGCCATCATAGAAATAAATTACAATTTAGTTGCTTTAAACTGAAATAATATTTCACAATATTTTAGTTTTACTGTATTTTCGATCAAATAAATGCAGCCTTTGTGAACATAAGAGACTTCTCAAAAAAAAAAATTGGACCAATATATATTGATTTTTATTATTATTTTGTTACTGCTCCCTCACAAGTTTACCAGAAACTGGTCCCGTTTATGAGAAATTTGAATTCTGACTAGTTTAAGGGTGCATTATCACACATCCTACATGAAAAAGGCCTCGAGTGAAACCATCGCTATGGTTATGGCCACAACCAAAGAATTTAAAAAGGGCACATTACCACACAAATTAATGGACACCATTGATAGTCACAAGTTTGGTTCAAGAAGGCTTTCTAGGGAAGAGCACAAAACAACTCTATGAGAGTGCCAACACTTGAGTTTATGAGACGTCAGCTGACTTACTAAATGAAGCAATTCTTTCACTAAACAATTATGCTGTCGAGTTGTGCATCATTGCGCTAAGATTTGGCTCCTGAACACAAACCTTAATTATATGACAGAGTGACTCTTTCTGAAAACTAAGAAATATATGTTGATTTGGTGAAACATTTCTTATTATTATCAATAAGAAAGGTTATGTTTGTAAGCAAGCAATAAGCACTCGCACTCAGAATCAAATTCTGTTCCTTACTGAGGTGGCAGCAGTTGTGTAGTGTTATTACATTTACAAAATTTACCTTCAGAATGTCACAAATAAACAATTCCCCGATTCAGCCATTTTTTAAGAGTAAATGCAAATATTCTATTTCGGTTCTATCTACTTGTTGTCTTTTATTTATTATAAAAACTTGACCCACTAACATAAATTTTCTTTATTCTTTTTCTATACTATATACTTTCAATAATAAAAAATTAATCACTTGACCCTCTATCTATTCTATTTCTTTTCTATCCTCTTTTTATTCATTCTATTTATTATTATTAAAAAAACCTTTGCTAAGTGTACCGCGTTAAGACTAATCGGAACTTGTCACAACACATATATTGTTGTTCTTTAGTTGGTTTGATTGTTTCTATTGTTCTCATTTGTAAGTCGCTTTGGATAAAAGCGTCTGCTAAATGATTAAATGTAAATAAAGTCTCAGCTTAGTGTTAATACACGAGTCTGTATCAACAATCAACTAATTTCAACTGAATAATGACTTTGTCGTCTTTTTAGAGCTGCTTTACAGCAGAATTAAATCTTGTTTGCACAACTGAATTACTGTTTTCTTGTTTGCTTTGAAACAATCTGTATTGTATAAAGCGCTATATAAATAAAGGTGACTTGATTTGACTGAATGGCTGCAGCTGTTTCAGACAGATCAACTATTGCTGACAAAAGACACAATCTTGATATCTGCCTGGCTTTGTTACATGAGATCAGTGATGGACTGGATGTATCCGTGGTCAAAAACACAGGACTGAGCATAATCTGGTAGGCCATGCTCACAGGCATGCTCGCTCACGGTGCCGCAGAGATTGACCATTAAGGAAATGTAAACTGGCTCTGATCAGCTCGGCAGATGGAAATGTGTGTCTTTCACAGCATGTCTCTCAGTTTAGATCTGGTCTGAATCCAGCTCTGCTGATTGGAGAGTTTCCAGTAGTTTCCCGTTCTTTGTGACCCAAGTATATAATTATGAAATCTCTAAATGTCCTCACTCTCTGATCTACTTAAAAAATTTTAATCTAATTAAAAAATTCTGAACACCTTAAAAATCACAGAGACCAGGACAATCTCTGTAAATAAACATATTTATTTAGTTTCGGGGGAAAAAAATCTTGACTCTTGCAATTCAGTTTGTAATCATGTAAACAAGATCATTTTGATAAATGCTGAATGTGCACAACAGATCTTAAGACAATAAAATGGAATGTGTTCTACCAAATTTCAGACAACAGAGTTGACTAATTTCCTATGTACTTTCATGGGAGATCCTTTAAAGTTGCCGCAACAGAACAT